ATGACTTTGGTCAGTTCATCCAAGAATACTTGCGCCTTCTCCTCCCCTTCGAACATGAGAACGATGTCGTCTGCATATTCCAGAGAGGATACGTGACCATAAAAACCGAGGGATATAAAAGGCCGCAGTTTTTGTGGGATTGTAGATGCAACCGTTCTATATCTGAGTTTTAACCTAGGTACTGGGGTATCATTCTGATATCACTCTGAGAAACTACACATCCTGACAAAAAGAAACGTGACTGGTGCGGATCTGAAACGATCAAACTTAGTTTACTGGCTTATCAAGTTTTTAAGTTTTTTGAGCGCTTTAAGAAAATCGGTTTCTCCTGGATGCTAGTCAACCAATTATTCAGACCAGAGATTTCGAACGAAAAATGTGGTATCTTGGTGTAAATATACTTTGGCCACCACAGACAATGCAGGCAAATGCGTCAAAAAAGTTCGAGAAACGTTGCTGTTTTTAAACGACTGAAGAGGTCTGAGGTATCCAAAAGAATTTTCCACTACGGCTGGCTCTCTTGGCTAATACACTCCAATTTTATCTGAAATTCGACAGAAATCACGTGTGCAACTGCATGAGTTCACAAGCATGTGCGGAAAATTTGAGATAAGACACTCCAGTGCTTCATTTATTTCATACTACCAGCAAATTATAAGTAGCTCGGAAGAGAAAATAATTTACATCCCATCTGAGAATCCATCACCTGAGGGGCCAGTCGATACGTAATCAAACGAAGTGAATCCCGGAACTGAAGGTTGAGTGGTGCTATTTCTTGTCTGAGTGAGATTTAATCACATTGCCAATCAACTTCTCGTGACCGAGTGAAGCTGCCCAGTGTTTATGACAATATGACCATCGAAATATCCTAGGTTAAAATGTCAAAAAGGTTTGATCTCTGAAACCAAAAGAGGTATAGTTTCCAGAGGGCTGAAAATTTTTTTATCGATTAAACCCCACCGAGGTCTATGTAAAATAGCCATCCAAAATTTGGAAACTCACAATCTGGCATCGATATAAAGGATCACAATGTTTCTTCACCGACTGTAAGAATTTGGAGTTTTCCTTTGCCTCCTTGTAGGCAACTTGAATTTGTTTCTCAAGTTCTGACCAGGCCTGATGACAGCAAGCAAGTAGTATACGGAATTAATCAAGAACATCTGAAGGAGTCGAAATGTTCACCCCAAGACGTATTTAAACAAGACATTGATGATGTCATGGGAAGCGATTTGGCCAACTTAGTGGAAGTAACCGAGTGCCTCCCAGATTTTCTGCCATCCTGGAGTCATAAATCACAGAACGTATTGAAGTATACCTTCATTCAGTCGATGTGAAATCCGAATAAACCTAGTATTTACTTCCCCACTGCCGAATACATCGCCTATCTCATCTCCAGACTGCACTGAGCTGTTCAAGGTTCTGTCGACCGTCGTTGGAATGCAAGTGACCTTGCTTTGCGGTAGTTTACAAACTCGTGTGACTGCAAAACGGTGCCCGATGACGTCCGAAAGCTTGCCAAGCCATCGGGTGACCGCCCAAACCCCGGTGTTAGCCGCATCGTATTCTGATAAACCGCTGGTAAATCGTGCAGGTTTTCTGCTGGAATGTAGAAGTACACTATCCGTTTTCAAAACCGCAATGTTGAATCTGATAGCAGCTAGGAAGACAGTAAACCAACTCCACGAACAGCAGCAACTAAGTACCACCGGTAACGCTGGGTGAACAAGTGCTCCAGTTGAGCCGATGGCATTTTCACTTTACCTATAAACCCATTCGGCCGATCATCAGCGCAGTTAATTTTTAGCTACCCTCCGTCTGAGATCTTGCACGCAATGTTTGCATCACTTTCAGGGTATCAGCAGTCCACACCTTGTACTTTAGAACTCGATTTCCTTAGGTCAAAGAACATGAAGATGAAAATAACACTCTCAAAGTAGTATCTTACTCACGGATGTGCCATGATATTTCGATGCACACGACTCTAAAGAGGGCTGGTGAGGGAGAATACCGGTAGGATAATCAGTAGTACACCCGTCGATTAATTGTAAACAGGGCTATTAACAGATATACTGAAGCAGTTAAAACAACAGCTAGTACATCGAAAACAAGAAGGTCTGCGATAGAAATGGCCATTAAGGTTGCCCCTAGCGTTGTCCTCAAGTTTCAATCACTGCTAGCAATCGGTTAGTTCTTCCGCTGAACATATATGTCCAGCTTATCACTAACTGCCGCTGATGTTATAGGCTTAAAGGATTTTATGGTCGTGTTAGAACTCGAGGCCAGTGCCTCGCCAAAGCAACAGACAGGATTCAGTGACCCAGACGATGTCATGTAATTAATTAGTCCAGTTCGGGGCTTGAATTCGGCTAGATCTTCACGGCGTCCTCATATACTAAATGAGTTGATTCTGAATTCTCTCACAATGAACACGGAGGTCCTTAGCGTAGATATCTCATGCAAGTGACCCTAATCACGAGCGTAGGGTGAAATAACGTTGGAAAATATATGCTTTTGCCTTAGTCCTTCTGTACTCCTATGGAGTGTGCCAATCTTAAGCGAGCTGCTCTGGCAATTGAATTATGTTGCCTAATCCTTCGCTTCACAGTAGCAAACGGTTTGGACTTACTTCCAGTGTCTTGGACTGAGCCAGTTTGAGTATTTTCGATACGTTTGCAATATCTGGCCTCTTCAGCTGGTCTATCAACGAATTGAGCCTGGTCATCCTGCATTTCCAAAACTGAATTTCCGTATGTGGCCCGTCTGTGTCCAGCTCTTCACGTACCAAGTTGACTTCTCGAAGTTCCTGCGCAATTTATCGGATTGGATTGAAACGTACAACTGAAAACTGCCAGAGACAATTGTCAAATAGAATTCGCGAAACATTTTCTCCAAACCATTGTGTTGATTACACTGTACTAAAGGTGTCTAAAAGCAAGACTGAGATTCAGACGCTTTTTGTACAAATGTGCTAAAGATTATGCATTCAATAAAATACCTCTAATGGATTGTTTTGTCCAACTTGATGGCAGTTACCTCCGATGCTGAAGATAACCTACCAGAGAGATCTGTTGCATCCACCGACTGGCACATTCTTCGACGGTACCAAGTGTGCTCAGGTTCTGGGATAGTTCCAAGCATCTTGAATGGTCTCGGGCACTTCCCAGGTTTATTTCCCGACAAGTGGCCAGTGTTATCTTCTCCGCCAAGCAGGCCACAGAACCTGAAGATTAGGATATTTGCACTTAGATCTTGCTTAACGTCAGTCAATAAATTTTGGGTTGAATATTTCATCTTCAAAATCAACCAGTTTTACAAGAAGAAATGTGAAACACAGCTTGTTGGTTTCTATTGGTCAAGAAACTAATTCCAGAATTGGCGGGTAAAAGACCGTTCGAAATATGTTCGGCCGCTTATCATCCACTCCGATGACTGCAGGACTATGTGAAACATAAGCTACTGCACCCAGTTCATAGTGGTGGAACCAGAGGGATGGTCAGTCTTTAACCTGGGAGGGGGGTTCACAGTGGCATTATTACTGTTGGTCACTATCCAGATCGCCTGAATGAGTGTTTGGAGGTGTAGGAACCTCGGAATGATTGTAACAGTGTTGTGACTTGCTGAACAGTAGTGCACCTCTGTATCGGTCCCTTGGCTTCCTGCTCCGCCCACTATGGTATATCAAAAGGCATGGTAGCTCTACATAGCCCTTTATGGAGACAAAGGAAAATTATTACAACTGTATTTATAGGATAGTCACAGGTTGTTCCACAAGGTCGTGCGAGAATCTCCGTGAGGGGGCGAGTAGCGTCGAGTCAAAGATGTTCTATCCGGATTGGCTGGCATTCTGACCAGTCAGAGCATGCCTTCGTTTGGCCCGTGTCCTGCACGTGACACATACGTCCAAACGATGTGATGCTCGGTTATTAGGGACGGCTGGCCTCCGTACAAACAGACCGGCGCTAAGTCTCTTCCCCGTTCACTTTTATTGCCCTCCCTCACATTTTCAAATAAATCATGGTTGCACTACGCCTTCGTTTCCCATTCGTCAGCAGGCAACTTTGAGTTGTTCGTATCAAATGACAGGTGCCAGTACCCAGATCTTAATTGAAAAAACCCGTGTGGACCAATCAGCTCATGGTGTGAACCGGACAAATGTTCTCCCAGAATTGTAGTTCATTGCTAACAGCAGTTTCGACATTTCACTGGAATATGGATTGTTTGTATAGCCACACCTAAATGACGAACTCTCTATCTACGTTGGATCTAAGTGGTGGCAACAAGAACCTGATACGTGAACCTAAGACAACTCACTCATATTTTGGCCGTGTATTTATAGTGTTTCAGTCAGTGGTTTCACGTTGGATTGGATTTGGTTAAGAACAGTTCATCTGGACAATTTATTCGTGAGTGGAAAGCTTGGAGGTTTGTGTCTGTGCGTGGAGACACAACATGGATGCAATGCACCTCGTTTGAGAGGAGGGGATACGACTGAGATCTTCAAGGATTTTCCCGACTGAACCTTACCGTGGTGTGACGGACCTCAGCGATCCATTGAGCTATACTGGGGAGTGTCCCCGTGACATTCACAGTCTCTCAATGGTTAGAGATCTGACGAACACAGTCTCCTGGCCTTCCAGGTTGGGGGTTAGAACATGTGGCGACTTGTTCCGTAGAAATGGTAATG